TTTTTTTTTTTTTTTTGTTTAGCTTAAATAATATTTGTTCATAATATTGTAATATGTACATCCAAAAACAAATGCTTTTATTTGTTACTGTTATATCAATATTTTAGTTTGAATATTTTAACTTTATTTCAAGTTAACTTGTAATTAAAAGATAATAAATAATTACAAATCATTCTAATTAATTCAATCGATTATTAATCAATGTATAATAACACATTGTTAAATTCAAACTATTTGCAATAAAAGTACACTTATTACCTATTACATTATATCTTATAGTTTATATATTYCTACCCAATTATAATTGTATTATTGATTATGGTTATAGAAAACAATTTTACTACAAATTCTTTAATAATTCGGTTCTTTAAATATTATTTGTTAATTATGTCTAACAATCATATCTAATTAAATGCATTTTAATTTATGTACATTATTTTGATCCCTCGCTCATAATAAACGATTAATTTATTGRTATAATGAAAATGTTTATTCACAATATTATAAATGTATGACTCGCATAAAGTATTTAAAATATTATCTTTTTTTTTTTATGAATTAAAAATATATCTTTAATTATCATGTTTAATGAAACTATGRAGGTGTTTATAATTAAATACTTTGTATGCAAATTTTGAAATGCATTATTTAGAATTAGATATTAAGATATTGAYTATAYTTCTCTTGAATAATAATATTTTTTCAACACATATTTTGTGCAGATAAGTACATTAACTTTAGTGATGTAGTTTATTTTTTGAATAATTTAACCTTTAATAGGAATGACTATATAGTAAAAATGCGTATATTTTTTATTGTGTTAGTTTTTTAAGTTAAAGTACTATTGTTTAGACTCAGGTAATTCATTTATGATTTATACCAGATATAAATCATGAGATTTGTGAGCATTAAAATGGGTAAATATTACAGAGAAAGAAATTGCATCATATTCATTGTGTATTAGTTTTGAGTGAACTATATACATATGTGTTTATCGGTATGTGAAGTTATGAAGTGAGTTATGAGTATGATAAAATGTACAAGCAATTTACAATTTTAAATTACTCATCAACTGGATTTGTATACATTTTGCATATTTTTTGGTTAGTCCAAAAGATAGCTAAGTGAGATAGAAATCCATTTGACATACAGGAAATTAAAAATGCACTTCTTTTWTTTTGCATACTTGGGAAYTTTTATTAATAAATTTATATTTTAATACTTTATAGGTCGTATTATTGCAAATATAAAATAAATTTTTTTACTTTTTTAGAAATCGTTAGAAAAAAAATTAAACATTTTTTCATATTATCAGTCCTATTTTTTTGTGCCAACAAAAATTGCTAATATTTTATTACCTTCATTGACTATCGTCCAGAAAAAAACTATAGAA